AAAAAAAAAAAAAAAAAAAAAAACGGCCTTTGGAAAGATGTCTAGATGAGGATAGCACAATTCAATTTTTTCAACCATGTTTTTTCGAACTATTCGCGCAGTGTTGTTCACATTTATCATACTATTATGCAATTAACTTGTATGAATTAAAAAGGTGAGAATTTGGAATATACTCGAATATGCTCACATTGGACGGAATTTTTATACAAATGCTAAATGTATCAAATTTTGGCTATAAAAATATTTTTCGTTGTAAGTCATGCTTACTTCATAGGTTAGTCACCCAACTGTTTTCGTAGTAGTTTTAAATGTATTACTGGAGTTGCAATTTAGTCTAATTCACACAGAGAGAGAGAGAGAGAGAAAGGCAGGCATGCAACATAATCAACTTGACTAAATTGCAAGTCAAGTAACAGACTTCAAAACTTAATCATAGTTCATATTTAAGTAAAATTATTGATTTGGAAATGGAAAAAACTAACCAAGTCATTCGTCTAAGAAATAATTTTCCAGTCAGTCCAGATCATTTGCCATGCCTGTTTTGTAATGATATTATTGTAGATGCCAATTGACAAGACAAAAGACAAATATTAAACATAAGCTGTCAGTCAAATGTAAAATACTTCTGGGGGCATCTTATTTATTTTGGCCTCCATCCAAAGTTGAGAACAGATACTTGTTTTGTTAGAATAAGGTTGTTACCTAATTATTCAAATGTACAGATAGTGAGTCATATAAAACAAAGTACAAAGAGCTCTTTTTATTTCCACTTCTTATATTCAAGGTATCCTTGGGACAGGTAAATGACTCCTTAAGGTGTGACTGTACAGTATGTTACACTAATTGCCCCTCTGAGAAGATGGTGGAAGGGGCTTCAGGTGGTGAAGGGCCACAATTCTTCACTACCTCAAGAATAGCTCAACATTTGGTTGCTTAGAACACTTCGCTCTGTAATGGCTGAAACAGCTGTAGTTTCATATTCAAAGAAGAAGCTTTGACTCATGAATTTTTCCTTTGTTAGTGTGTTCAACTTTCAAGGTCAGTTCAGCCAATTGTTCATCAATGTTCACCTTTTATACTTTGTTAAGTTTTATTTCATGTCATATCCTAGTGGATCAAGATTACAGTCCAACAGTGCTATGGAGGAGTCTCTGAGAAGCTGTAGTAATTTTTGTAGTTCATCCTTTCTGAAGACCTAAAAGAAATAAAAATATAAGTAAATATATATATATATATATATATATTAATTACATATCAGCATTGCTGCTATAATTTAATGATTAATATATATAATTCCAATTAATAGCCAATTTCCATAAATGAAACATCTTTATATGAACCTATAATAACCTGCTTTTTCACTAAATACCACAATCTATTGTACCTTTATCACAAAATCTTGAACAGTAACTAAAGTACAGTAAAAAGAAAAAAGTATATATAAATGATAACAACTTCCCCTAAAAAAGTATACCATTTAAAACGCACAAATTCTGCTTAGGCCACACTTTTTCATTTTCATGGATGACATCCTCTGGGTACCCCAAAATTGGTGTGAGAGGGAAAAAAAAAAAAAAAAAAAAAAAAAAAAAAACTGCTTAAGTAAAGGAATGCTGTCAGCATACAGCTGGAAACACAAATTTCACCACAGAAACACGTATCAAACTAACACTATGTCTTTATCCATGCTCTCAAAATATTAAAGCATTGTGAATACTTCGTAGAAATGTAAAAAAAAAAGTCATGAATAGATATACTTCATATTACCAAATCTATTTAAGGTTATTTCATGCATTTAGTTGGTATAGCAATCAATAAAACAAATATCAACCAAACAGTGTGTCTTTATATGTATTCTCAGAATATTAAAGCATTTTGAACACTTCACAGAAATGGTTAAAAAATGATGCAAAGATAGGGCCTATGCTTAATACTACCAAATCTATTAAAGGTCATTTCGGACGATGCCATTTGTCTACTTCGACTCACACGAAGCAGCCAAACTGCCAGGTGGCTTGTCTGACCTTCAGGCCACCAAATACCTCGACGCCCTTGTCAACCCTTTTTTCGCTACAGAAAACCTGGTATTAATGTGCTGCTTTGTACAGAATGCCACAGCAGCCCGGGAGCCACTGGCTGATTTGACGGTTATTTTGGAAAATATTAGATTTGGCCTCGTTTTCAAAACGTGGAGTGGTAGCCCCAAAAAAATTTGGCGGGAGACGAAGGCATAGAGACAGGTAAGTTGTACATGTGTTTGTGGAATGAACAGTAGATTTAAATACTAATGAATTTGACGGGACAATACAGTATATGCTTAAGTTACATTTTATACACCGAATAAGTCTTCGTGTATCGATTTCACTGAGTATTCTCTAAAGTTACTGGCGATTAGCAAAATGGCCGCACACAAAACGTCATTGTAAACATTGACTTTTGAACTGTGCCAAATGCAGCTTAAGGGTTTTTTTCTTTATCTGTTCCTGTTTTTTCATAGTTTGGCAATATTTTTTGAACATATCAAATTTTTAAGATGTGCGATGGCCTGTAATTTGTAGAATTTCAACATTTCCAACAAGCTGTATATTCACCGTGCCGGGTACCTATCATTTAGTTGATCGAGT